GAAATTTCAGGCCAAGTCAGTTAGTACAGGGTGAGAGGATTTACTGGAGACAGCGAGGAGCAGAACAGGCTGATCCACTGAAATCCACTGCTGAGGGGAACAACGAGTGAGACAGGAGGAGTCTGTTACTCCAGGTGGGTCAGCTCCCTGGCAGGGGATTGAACTCAGGGCATAGCCGTGACAGTGCTAAGACCTAACCCCTAGGCCACTGGGAGGCCCTGAATCCCCACCTTAACAAAACCCTCAAAATAACCAAACTTTTGATTTTTGTGTTCAGGTTCTCAGAACATTTGAATAAGAAGTGCAAGGTTCATGATGTTTTCTGTGACTAAGTGAGTTTAGTTATTTGAGTCCAGACATGCTATGATTTAGTTCCAGAATTTTCATCTTATTTGGTAGCAGTTTCCCACAAACACCAGAAGTTAGATATGTTAGTGGAATGCAAAATTTGTGTTCCGCCAAAGTGTTTTGCAAAGAGAAAAGAACATTATGCTGTAGAACTTGACAGTATGTATATTTCCCAAGGAAAAGGCCTTTTATTTTTCTTTCCCAGAAAACATGTGTGATACATCCATTTTGGGGGGACCCTGGGCCCTTCTCTGTGCTGGTACCCTTATACTTTATAGCCAGATACTGTGCCTTAAAGTTATATCTCTTTTGTCCTTTAAAAATGTTTGCTGAAAGAAGCCACAGCCAGCCCCATGCTGGTTGAGACTCACTTAAAGTTGAATGTTCAGGAAGGAAAGCCAGTCATTGCCTGCAAGTAGTAAATGCACAAATATTATTTTTTAAAATATTGTTCATTAAACCCACAAATACTTGTTGCTCACACAATGAATAATAAAGTGGTTGCACGGAGACTGTGGTGATAGCCTTTGAGATGCATGTAATCCAGGATGAAATTCTCTTGTTTTCTGCCTTTCAGAGCATCTCCAAATAGTTTTTATGGCTTACAAATGTTTCAATATACCTGTCAACTTGTCCCTTTGTTTTTTAATCAAACTTGAGTTGCCTATTTGTTCATTGTCCTCAAAAGTAGGTGGTTGAGCAACACTACAAAATGGAATGTGGACATTTTTAACGCTTCACCTTATTTTAAATGGTTCTGTCCTAACCCCATTCACAGTCCTCCGGTCACATGCTCAGCTGGATTAGCATTTGATTCTGTCAAAGTAGAGCAAGGAACCAAAAAATGAAGCACTTAATTAGAATTTCACAGTGATTTCCACATAAGCCAGTTCCAACAAGGTGTATTTATGTATAGCAGTCAGGAGCTGACTAATCTCCTGTGTCAATATATGAGTGTCAGAGAGATGATTTTAAATGGTAAGAAATTCTACACAATAGAACTTTAAGCCTGGCCATGTTGCATGCTGTTGTTTGGCCAACCCTAGTGTTGTTACTGTAGATAGCCTATCATTTTGATTACTAAGTCTAGATAGGATAATAAAAAGCAAGATATAACAAACTATCCCATCAATAGACTTTTCTTGTTAAATTCAACACTAAAATTGTGAACCTCAGATGAATGTAATTGTCCATTTGTCTTCAAATGAACCATCCTTTTTTTGAATCCTTATTTTTCCACTTTTAGGGTTGTAGTAGAAGATTGAGAAATAGTCTGGTTAAAATAGGAAATTTATACTTTGTATGTATTTGGCATCATTATTTTAATAGCATCACTGGCATACTTTTTTATATTCTGTTTTGAGCAAAATAATTTTTTGGATTTTCACCTATCATGGTATTTACTTTGTAAATGCAATAGAGTTGTGTCTTCGTCTTTTACCTTGATTTTTAAAATGTCAAATAACACAATAGCCATAACTTAATTAGTTAAAGAGTGTTTATTTTGAAGGTGAAGTAAGTTAGCTAACAGAAATGCCCCCCAAAAAATAATAATGAAGTAGCTTTTATGCATAAAACCATATTTCCATTCTAAATGTACTTCATATATTCATAAAAATAATGGAAAATGTAATTGCCTAAATAATGCCATACTCCTGTAATGTAAGATACTGTGTTGATTTTATAATTAATATTAGGACAACAGATGTGGCAATGAAAAAAAAATTTTTACTTTCATAAATATTTTGGTAACCAAAGTGAGTCTCTGTACCATACTTCACTTAGTTGCCATATTTTCAAAACAAATGCCTCATTATTTGAAAATAAATCTATATTGAAAGAGGCAAAGTATGAATATCCACAGCCTTCATTGTATTATAGAAAAAAGCTTATATTTTTTATTAATTTGCAATTTGAAGTCATTAAGGACCCTCAGACTATGGAATTCTTACAGGACAATAGACTTGTTTTGCTATAGCCTTCAAAGATAGTGTTGCAAATAAACACATGCTTGTCAGTTGCTAACAATACAAGTCAGAAATTACAGTATCTTCAAAAAGATATGTATTCATAGCAATAACAGTCACTGTTATGACTCAGAAAAGTGTTTCCAATGAATATGAAAGGGAAAGTAATAACAGTGTTTATTTTTAACTCACTAGATTTCAAATTTACCTGCTAGAGTTTGAAGAGCTAGAAAACTTCTCACTAGTTGCTTGGGGAAAAGTTCCTTTTTTCTTAGTTTTGCCAATCATTTGTTCACTTGCTGAAAATTATTTTTGACTCTTTAGAATGGACTAGGTACTCAACTGGGTGTGCAATAGTAAAAGCAAGTTGCCCAGCTTCCAGAAATCTCACCTTTATTTCTGTTATGTTAAGCACTATCATTTTAAAGCACATGGTTTATTTAAGGCACTTAACCAAAGCCTGGTATATAGAAAGTGCTCAATAAAGAATAGCTATTATATTTTTTTAAACTCTTAGTTTCTTTATTTTATTAATTTAACTCAGATCTCCATTGCTATTGCAAAAAAAAGGAATAGCTATTATTAATGATCTGTGACCTTTCTTATAGTTATTGTTCATCTTCTGAGGGATGGCATTTAAAATGTCTTCATTTATAAAAGTAATGCTAAGTACTCCATGTATTGACAACTGAACTAACAGTATGGTTCTCTAGTTTAAACATCTCACAGTCAAGGATGGCTACATGTCCAGCAGAAATTTTCAAAATTTCTTCTGTCTAGAAAATAAAAAAAATGTAATTTTCATTTTTCTTTATTCATTTTATGATCGGTGTAAATCAAATTTCCAAGAAAGATGATAAAAATGTTCTGATTGGCATAGTTGAATAAAACAAGCAAAACAATTACTTAGTAATTTTCTATATTTAAAAACTGCAGGTTAACTCTAGATTTCTCTTGGTGTCAAATTTTATTACTATTCTCACTTATTTTTTTTTAGATTTTAATTTCTTATGGATACAGGCCAGAGGTGTGGGGATGGGTGAGAGGACTCACCAGGGACAGAATGGGGAAAAGAACAGGCAGATGGACTGCAATACACTACTGAGAGGAGCAGTGATGGGTCAGGAGAGGTCTGTGGTGCCATGTGGGTCACTACCTGGTGGGGAATTGAACTTGTGCTGCAGTGGCTGCGGATAGCTTCATAATGCTGCGTTTTAGCCTGTTGCACCACCTGGAAGGGCCCACTATTCTTACAGACTTCGTACATGTAAATGTGATCAGATACACTACTTTTTATTATGGGATTGCTCAGCAGACTACTTGTTACAAAGATTGAGTTCTTTAGAATGTCTTGCAAAGAGCCTTCTAAAAATAGAGGCATGGAGTCTTTTTTTTTTATATTTATTTATTTATGCATACAGAACTGGGGTACAGGCCAGGGGTGCAGAGGGTGGTGAGAGGATTCACCAGAGACAGAGTGGGGAGCAGAACAGGCAGATCCACAAAACACACTGCTGAGGGGAGCAGTGGGCCAGTCAGGAGAGGTCTGCCACGCCATGTGGTCACCTCCAGGGCAGGCGGGAATCGAACTCATGCGGAAGTGGCTTTAGCTTCTCAGTGCAGTGCTTTAACCTGCTGCGCCACCAGAGAGGGCCGGCATGTAGTCTCTTAATCAAACTGAAGCACATCACATGCAAATTGCTTCGTGGTAAGTCTAGTGGCTAGAAAGGTGCTATTCAATATGATAGCCACTAGCCACAAGAATATTACAATTTAAAATAATTTATTATTTTTTTAGATTTAATTTGCTTATTTATGCATATAAGAACTGGGCTGCAGGCCAGAGGTGGATGGGGGTCAATGGATTCATCAAAGACAGATTGGGGGAGCAGAGCAGGTGGATCTACTGACATATATTGCTGAGGGGAGCAGCCGGCAAGACAGGAGAGGTCTGCTGTTCCCTATGTGGGTCAGCTTTCTGTCTGTGGATAGAACTTAGGCCTCAGCAGTGATACTGCTGAGACTTCACCCCTGTGTCACCAGGGACACCCCTTTAAAATAATTTAAAATAAAATTCAACTACTCGCTATTGCTCAGTGGTTGAACCTGACTGTAAGACACAATTTTGGCAGGAACAGATGCAGGACTTTTCCATTTCTCAATCTACTATTAAGGCATTATGAATATATTAGGTGGTCAGAAAAGTCATGATACATTTCTACCTAGAAAACGGAAAAAATACATCATGACTTTCTGACAGCCCAGTATTAAGCAAGATTATGATTAATCATCTATCAAGATTTAAAGAAACAAAAATAAATATGGACATCGTGTGCAACTTCACACAAATGAATGCCATCGATCACTTGTCCTCCCGTGGCAAATATAATGCAAATGCAAACTGAGGAATATAGTCATCATGTTTCTGATTATATAATCCTCAATTATGACCGCTGAAAAGGAGCACTTGTTTGGTTTTGTTACCTCGAGTTCTACTCTTGATTAAATTTGTCAAACTCTTTGACAGATAAACTTGCCGAAAATGACTTAAATTTCAGTGTCTTATAACGACGAAAGTCAAGGCTCAGAAAATGAAGTCTTTTTGCTGAAGGCCTTTGGGTACCCGTCGTTCTGAAGCTGGTCTCTAAGAGATGTCTAATCGTTGCATCAATGCTCTCTCTGCAGCGCCCACCAAGCCTTTGTTCCTGAGCGCCCCTCCATTCTACTCCGCCTGCTGCGGTGGGTCCTGCCGGCGTCCTGCATCCCCCACTGCCTTTCCAAGTAAGTTGTTATGCTTCATCAGCAATGCCTCAGTTATTCTGCAAACCAAAGCAGCAGGACTTAATGTGCTCTTTAAAACTAATTGGTAATGCAATGGCAAGGAGCTAATTCCTCACTAAAAATCACAGCGATCCTATTCAGGGGGGTTGCAGAGATTTATCAAACCAGGGTACACTGAGCAATTGTGAGTGACTCCTAAAGGCATTGAAACTGGGGCTGACACACCAGGGGCAGCCACTTGTTTTCCACGGGCTATAAAAGATCTCATAGGGACCCGTTTGGCTCTTTCTGAAATGTGTAGCCATCCTCATTTAAAGAAGAAAAGAACAGAAGACGAGGATGGGGTGCTGTGTAAAGTTTCCATTTCATCTCAAACGTCAGGCCGAAAGTCAGCAGTCCCTGTAGAAAATAACGAAAAATTGGTAGGGTTGTTAGAGGAGGTAAATAACCTCCCTTTCCATTCTTAAAGAAAACCAGGGAAAGTTTTCATCCACATACTACACCATTTTCGTAGTGTTTGGGGGATGAAATAAAAACAACTTTGAAAGACTTGCAGAGTGTGGATAAACTCTCACACACTGAAGAAAAAGTCTAGTTTCTCCTTGGTCTGGAGGAGAATTTGAGTTTATGATGGAGAAATCAGCAGAGGGTGCATCTGTTCAGTGTAACAGGTGTCAGGTCAAGGTGAAATGGGAGGGAGGCAAAAGTTTGGAGCTTCACCACAGCCAGATTCAGGCCCCGATGCTCCCTGTGTGTTTTATGAATGTTTCAGGAGAGCGGTTGCTCTTGACAAGTGAGGCAGCAAATGCTGGACGTTTAATGAGCTGGGAGCTTCTGAGCATCTCTTTAGGGGGCTGATACTTTCCCACAGAGCACTTCACATGGCGAGGGGCCAGTCACAATGGATGACAGACCCGTGACCAATCGTCACTTTCTCTCGACTCATCCACACGCGACCCCGCCTGATTTTTCACTATGCAGATGACCTTTAGGGACCATTTCACATGGAAAAGGCCCGGGCAAGGGTCAGCTGCCCTTTTGTATGGCCATAAAGCAAGGCCCTGTGTGTCCGTCTTTTCTCCTGTCTCACATTCCAAATGCGTTTCTGGACACCATTTAAAGCACTTGACTGAAAAATAAAGCAGTGAATGAAACTGACTTTTATAGACTCATTCTAGCTCATCTTCCCATATAACCCTGTCCACCTGAAAAGGGGTTTAGTGGATGATCTGAGTGTATACAGGGACTTGCTGAATACATAGTGCCTATTATCAACTGTGGGGATTGTTTATTAACCGGGGCTGATACACTACTATTTTGGAAGTGACCTATTAATTGTCCATTTAACTAGAATGTATTGAATTCCAATAGGAAAATAGAAACCATGACTAACCCTTTTACTTGCTTCTTCAAGGTGGTCTTCTATGAAGGCAATTGAAAAACAGTTGTGCAAATTAAGGAGACATTTATCACCATATATTAGAGTATCAGGAAAAAAACTGCTGGAGGAAAGATTTGAGTTCCCAAGATCACATTCCATACATAGTGGGGATCCCTGTAGAATTCAATTCTTAATGTTGTATTTGAGGAGCAGAAAGGAAAAGGGGTCCCACGACTACTTTTTTTTGGTCTTGAACATAATACCCATCTTCGGCCTTAGAAAGTTTCTAGCAATGTGGCTTAGGTAAAAGGAAATGGACAAAAATACACTTCACCTAATGAGTAGCCACTTACATGCTTGTGTCTGTGTGTGGTCTCTAGGTCATGAAAGTACTGTAATCCCTGGGTCAGTTTAATAAATAGAACACATGAAAGTAATTCTAAAGACATTTTTAAGATAACTTTGTCTTCTCAGTGGCTTGAAATATTACTTAGGGCCCTCCTTGCTCTCCTTGGTGGCACAGCAGGTTAAAGCATTGCACTAAGAAGCTAAAGCCACTTCCTCATGATTTCCATCCCTGCCTGCCCCAAGGTGACCCACATGGCGCTGCCTGATCCGCCCACTGCTCCCTTCAGCAGTGTACTTCATCAGTTGGCCTGGTCTGCTCCCCGTTCTGTCTCTGGTGCATCCTCTCACTGCTTTTGCACCTCTGGCCTGCACCCCAGTTCTGTATGCACAAATAAATAAATCTCTTAAAAAAAAAGAAAAACAAATATTAAAAAAAGATTTGTTTATTTATGCATGTAAGAACAGGGGTGCAGCCAGTGGCACAGGGGGTGAGAAGATCACCAGAGACAGAGTGGGAAACAAAACAGACAGATCTACAGAAATCCACTCATCCACGGCAGAAGGGAGCAGTGGGTGAGGCAGGAGAGGTCTTCTCACCATGTGGGTTAGTCACCTTGCCGGGGATCGAACTCAGGTGCAGTGGCTGGTGACAGCTTGACAGTGCTGAGAGTTTAACCCCTGTGCACCAGAGAGGGCCAAGCAGGGCTTCTTTTCTTCCTACTTTATGCCTGCATCTCAGTCCTTACTTGATTTTTTTTTTGGAGTAACTGATGTTATGTGTCTATCCCTCGAGGCTGGTAAAGTCCAATATTCATCTTTTTTACTTAGTAAAGCACACAAAGGAAAATTGACACAACTCTTTGTAAGGGGGATATACTCCCCTTGGTTTGTCTCCATTTCTAAAGTTGCCATTAACAGCAGTTTAGAGATGCCACAGTATTTTTTTATTTTAAAGATTTATTTATTTATGCATATAGAATTGGGGTACAGGCCAGAGGTGCAGGGGTGGTGAGAGGATTCACCAGAGACAGAGTAGGGAGCAGAACACAGGCAGATCAACGAAGTACACTGCTGAGGGGAGCAGCAGGTAAGACAGGAGAGGTCTGCTGTGTCACGTGGGTCATGTGGGTCACCACCAGGACTGGATCGAACTTGCACTGAAGGGCTGCCGCTAGCTTGCAGTGCTGTGTCCTAACCTGTTGCACCACCAGGGAGGGCCGATGCCACAGTTTTTTAATAAACTTTGTTGTCTCATATTATCAGTAATAAATAGGAAGTCCATTTATTATTTTCTTGTTTATGATGTTTATCAAATTGGTGCCAAAAAAAAAAAGGAATGGTGGGGGCCCTCCTTTGTGGCGCAGTGGGTTAAAGCACAGCACTAAGAAGCTTAAGCCACCTCCCCGCATGAGTTCAATCCCCGCCTGCCCGGGAGGAGATCCACATGGCGAGGCAGACCTCTCCTGACTGCCGCTGCTCCCCTCAGCAGTGTACTTCGTCTATCTGCCTGTTCTGCTGCCCGCTCTGTCTCTGGTGAATCCTCTCACCCTTCGCATCTCTGGCCTGTACCCTAGTTCTATATGAATAAATAAATAAATCTTAAAAAAAAAAAAAGGAATGGTGGGATTGTGCTCTTAGTAAAGGGTCTTACAGACATAACCATGAGCCCAGGAGCCACTAATAAGGTTTATATCTGCCCAGTAATCCTTTTTACTTAAGGCACTAGATTTTCTTTTCTTTTTTAATAATAGAAGGCTTTCTACGCCAAAGCATTTAAATTCTTTTCCTTTATACAAAATAAGGAAAATGATCTGTCCTAGTCATCTTGTTGTATGTTTCAGTTTAGGAAGCCAAAATTAGGAATCTTGAAAACAATTTTAATAAGCAATGAAGTCAGTGTCCCTCATCATTTTACAGCATTAATTTCGTCTCTCCAAAAGTATGGGATCAGATCAACATGCCCATTGCTATGCAGATTCAATATAATTTTCATTCTTTTAACATGATTTGTTTGAAATCAGTTTAGCTTTTCTTGTTAAACTTTTAAAGAAGTAGGACTGACTTGTTTTGAAATATGGAAACAATCGTTTATCCAGGGCACTTCTCACATACAGTAAATAGTTTAATAGGCTATTTAAGCACAACCCTTCCAGTTGGGAAAAATTAAAAAGCAGTAGTAAGTGTTTCCCCTCCCCCAAAGCAGTGTAAGGAAAAATCTTTGCTATTACATCCATAAGGCTCTTTTCAAAATAACACATTTCTCAGATAAAGTGAAATGGAAAGTTGTGGAAATTACACCATGAACTTAAAAAAAGACCAGAAGAGCTTCAGTAGGTAGGCTAGCTAACTGAATCAACTGTTATTTTGGTCTGACTTGGAATACCCAACGTGAATTTGACCTTTGGAGAATCTTATACTGTGAAAGACAAAGTTTAAATTTCAGCAGCATTATAAAAAATATGAACAGGGAAATATTTGTCTGGAACAAACGGTTCTGACTTTTTTCTGGGGAGATGCAGTTAAGTTCTATATTGTAAGGTCACGCTGCTCTCTTCCCTTTTCCTAATTTGTTACCACTTAAAGAGGCTATTATGGTCTCCAAATTTGAATTTAGGGTTTTGTTGGGGGCAGCAGGGAAGTCATTTTACTGTCGCGCACGCAGGCTGGCCCTTGGAGTGCCACTGTCCAGGATGGATAGTGCTCTGATTAGTATTCTCGCCACCTGATCGGGCTGAGTTCTTTTTTGCTGCTCTCAGCTGGAGTGGTGAGGGCACTGAGGAAATGGACCGAGACCTATGGAAGTCCACCAAAGGCAGCATAAAAGTTTCTTTTATAGGATTTCCCTTCAGAGGGATGCGGCATTTTGTTGTGATAAAGAGGCCGAGCTCTTTGGTTGAAATCTTAATCAGTTTGTGCAATAAGTTGAGCCTGGATTTTGACTTCCCAGCAGTGCACGGAGGGGGAGGTCCTGCAGATAAATGACATTTGGCCCACCAGGAGGAATGTTTAAAGGAGATTCAAAGACAATAGATTTTCCAAGCTGATGGCTCTATTCAGCATTTCTGGAGAGGCAGTGAAAAGATTTTGTTACATTCCTGGAGTGGAGTCTCCTTGTCCCCTAATAAGAAGCTCAAGGCAGGTAATGAAGAAGGGGTCCATCCACACAGGATCCCTAGTCTTGTTCACAGCCCTTGCCTGGACATAAGGTGATGTCAAAGAGGGCAGCTGATAAAGTTCTGATTATGGATACCCCTAAACAAGTACCCAAGTACAGATTTAGAGGAGGGGGGAAATTGGATCCGTAGTACAAAGTAGGAAAGGATTGTACTGTTAACGCAATGTTCCTGCAGAATGGCATGAAGGTGTTGGATTAAATAGAAATAGAATATACAGAATAAGGGAGATCATAGTCCTTCTGGGCTCTTATGGTTTTGCAGTTATGGAGACCTACTTTCTTTTACTTTTTTTTTTAAGTTTCTTTTTTATTTATTTATGAATGCAGGAACCAGGGTGTAGGCCAGAGGCGCAGGGAATGAGAGGATTCAGCAGAGACAGAGTGGGGAGCAGAACAGGTGAACTGATCCACTGCTGAGGGGAGTAATGGGCCAGACAGGTTTGGTCTGCTGCACTTTATGTGGGTTAGCCCCTGGGCCAGAGCTTAAACTTAGAGCATGGCAAGTGACAGTGTTGAGACTTTACTCTTTAGGCTACTAGATAGGCCCTTCCTGTAATTTTTTTCTTGTCTAACGTTACAGGTACATGAATTTATTTTGCATTTCTATGTGAATGTAAAGTCCTGCTAGTTCAGAGCATATTGGGCTTTCCAAAGTGCTACACTGCCTAGCTTATCCTAGAAAGGCTTCTCTCTGTGAGATCCATCATTACCTGAGCTTATTTCAGTCATCCCAGCTCTGATCTGCCTTTCCAGCTCATCTGTTCTTGTGTTCTTCCCGTTCATATTAGGAATACTGAGTTGATGAGATCCCTCACCCTGTATTCACATCTGCAACTACCAGTCTCATGGCTCTGCTTTCCTTTGTCTAGCTGACCAGGAAGAGAAATTCGCTCTTGTTTGAACTGCTTCTCCCAAAATCTGCTCTCTAGATCTTCAGGAAATAATGGCTTCTTGGGTGGTGCTCAGATGCTTTCAGTGCTACCAGTCGTTCTCTGTCTGAACTGTGACTCTCTGTAAGAAAACTTGGACTGTTCCTTATCAACTCTGCACTCTGGAAGGGTGGAATGAATTCATCTTGCATTGTCTCTCAGCAATAACTGCCAGAATGTCTAGATTATCCCCAAATGCTTTCAACAATGTTTGCTTATTTTCCTTAGCAAATAGAAAGAGACTTAAAATGCACATTGGAGATGAATAATTTGTCCATAACCCTACAGCAGTAGTGTCACTTAATGTTTGTTTTGTCTTTTTTGGTCCTCTTTTTCTCTGGATTTTTACTGAATTGCAGGCATACAATATATCTCATATATCATGTATATTACAGCATATTTTCTTTGCTGCTGTCATCTCATTAATGATTCTTTAACATATCACCAGATAAATAAAGCATAATTTACTCATGCATTTTTTTTGCCTTTGGATATTTCTTTTTTTTTCTCCTTATTTTTGATACGTGTATCTGTGATAATGGTAGAGTAGATTATTTACAATGGCAGAATTGGAAAAAGACAGAACTTGCAGGCAAACCATAGATCGGAGGCATATAGCAGGGGAGGGGAGAAGGAGAGGTCAAAACAGGGGAGGGAAGAACACAAGTGACTGTGGTGATGGGTCAGTTGTGCAGTGGTGATGGGAGAAATAAGGGGACTACACCCGAGGGGAGAAACCAATTACTGTACAAAAATGAACAACAATGTAAGAAAGTAAAATAATATATTTTTTAAAAGAATGTCACAATCAAACTATGAAGCAAGAAGTACATCCCAGGGTTTCAGCATACACTTGGCCAGGTTCTCCCAGGCATCCAGGCTCCCAGACTAATCCAGGGCAGGGCGAAGTAGCCTGTGGTCCAAGACAGAGACTCTGGCTGTGTTTGTAAATGTTTCTCCCGCCCCATTCTTGACCAGTCGTGCCTCAGTAGAGAATCACTGTGGTGCAGAGGAAGGAGCCAAGAATTTGGATTCAGAAGACTTTGCTCCCAGCTGAGCTCTGTGTCTTTGTGTAGCTTTGCAGTTAGATGCTCCCTCCCGGAATCCTCTCCCTCCTCTGCATAGCTTTGGACCTTAACTGCTCTGCATATCTTAAGAGCATTTCTGTGGTGTATGATTCCAGCAAGAGGAAATAAAGAGGATTTGTGGATGCTTACTGTGGTCTAAGCACTAAAATTTTCTTGTTTAATTTCAACAAATCCTTAGAACAATGATCCTTAAAACTCAGACTATGTTACTTGTGCCAGGTCACACATGTAAGTGGCAAGGTGCAAATCCAGGTCTTTCATACTCCAGAGTTCTTCATCATCCCAACAGATGAATCTCTTCTCTGAAATGATGCAGCAGAGTCAGCTCTGTGTCTCTACAGAGACACCGAGAAGAATTATTCAGAAAAGAGTTTAGGAAAAGAAACAGACTCAGCATTTTTTTTTAATCATTGGTTAATATTCCTTCATACTGCTTAATCTCTCATAAATAGTGACTCCAACTGTAGAACCTGACTTCATTGTAAGAACCTGAAAACAAGCTTTGAGGCAGGCAAAAATAATTGGTGCTGTACATGAGAATTCACCTAGGTCCCATGAGAGGATAAAGGGTGAGGGCATCAGTGAAAGTAGACTTTGTAAAATTTGGGCTTGATGTCATCCCAGGGATTATGGAACTTTATTTAAAAAGATTTTTTTTTGTAGTAATATTGGTTTACATCGTTGTTAGTATTTTGGACATATAGGATCTTTCCCTTCAGGTGTCATTACCTTAGCAAACCTACAACCAAAGCACCTGCAGTCCTCCACCATAGTCCATTGTGCAGTCTGCAACCTGTCCTTCTCCCACTCCCTCTGCTGAATCAGTTCTATGGTCAGGCTTCAAGTGTTGGTTTTTATCTCACCCTTTGATTGGTTTCTCTGTATTCCATATATAAGTGCTACCCTCCTGTATTTAACTTTTTTCTTTCTGGATTATTTCACTTAGACATTGCCTTCCAGCTCCATCCATATTGTCACAAATGGCATGAGTTTGACTTTTTGATTGCTGAGTAGCATCCCATGCTGTATATAGACAATTTTTGATCCTTTCCTCTGTTTTTGAGGCACATAGGTTGTTTTTCTGTGGTATTTATAAGGAGACATGAATATTACAACACTGGAAGGATAGAGGGAGAAACCAGTGATCCTTGCAATGTGAGGATGACTGGAATGACGACTAAGTGTCTCGCGGAAAGGAAGCTATCATGTTTTAGGATGATTGACAAGATTTATTCATTTGTTAACATTTTCTTTCTAAAATACAAGTCAAATGTTGTATTTTGTAGCATTAAGAACATTTGTTTTGGAATCAGTCTTCCTGGATTTGTTTTGAAACCAAACCTTGTACAAAGTTACTTAAACTGCTTGAGCTTTAATTTTATTCATCTGTACAGTAAGGAGTAACACTTATGGCCTAGGTTGAGTGGCAAGATTAGACAAAATATTGCAAGTTGTGGCTCAACACAAAGAATATCAGTACCAAGTAACTGGTCCATGTATGTTTTTTACTATCACATCAGACCCTAATTATCCATCTTCCCAACTTGGATAATTTCCCAAGCCCATTTAGTCCTCTGTGACCTAGTATTATCCCCCTCCCTAATCTTAATGCCATAGGTATTGAACAGAGTGCCAGACTTACTTATACGTTTTTGAAAAATAAATGAATGAATAGATAATGGTGGAATTAGAAAACAAGGAAGTGCTTGAACGACCCTGCTCCTTGTGGCCTGCAAATGTGGATTTTCCGATGTAGCAGACCACATTGGGTGAACCTATGCACTTTTCATGTAGAGAGATGAGCTGCCTGGGCTTAGGGTATGGTGGGATGCGCTCATCTGGGAAAGCTGGCGGCCTTCCCACCCTAATGCAAGCTTCTGTGTCATTCCCTTCCCCTCAGGAGAAGAGAGCACACTGCCCCTCCTTTCACCGGACTCTAATTCCAAAGCTCGGAGGGGTATTTTGAGAAGAGCCGTCTTTTCTGAAGACCAGAGAAAGGCTCTGGAGAGAATGTTCCAGAAGCAGAAATATATCAGCAAAACAGATCGAAAGAAACTTGCCATCAACTTGGGACTAAAGGAATCACAGGTACTAATTGCAGAAAGATGTCTGTGGGTCATGATTCCTAACAACATACCACGAATTGCAATCATTTGGCAAATTGTAGTAGGTGGAGTGCTGGGCCCAGAAGTGTGGTTGAAGTAGTTTTCATAATTTTTTAGTAGGTGTCACAGTTCCTACTTAGATATATTTGCTGAGGGACCTAGGTTTTTACCATTGGACTAATTCTTCTCAGATGAAGAGAAAAACACTTAGGATATGGCATTTATATCATTCATTTTATGTTTTGTATGCAGATAGCATGTCATGTAATTCCTTATACAACAAGAATCAATATTCCTGTCTTTCTTTCATTGCCAAGCCAAAATCAGGGCAGGAATGAGTGGCTTATTAACTAGTCACTCATAATAAAATTTCATAATTTTGCACTATGGCTTAATTATTTTCATAATTTTTAGAATTTTTTTCTTGTACATTCATATTTTATATAACTTTGAGCTTTTCTGGCCTTGCAAGAAGTTCAGAATAAGCAATTAAAGATCAATTTGCAATAAATAGTTAGTGGTAATGTGGTAATGTAAGGTATTAGCATTTTGCTTTTTTTTAAAAAATAATATAATAGTTTATTTTTTTATTTCTTTTAAATTTAATTATTTTTAATTCTTCTCAAAAATCTTCATATAAAAAAGATAAGTAACTGTAGGGAAGTAAACCAAGGTCAGCTGTCATCTGCCAAAGCTGCTTGGAGTTGGCCTCCCTCCAGTCATCTTGAACCAGGGGTCCAAGTCCCTTATTCAGGAGCTGATGTCCACTGCTGTCCACATATTCAAAGCACAAGGGCACTCAACTAAGGGGAGGTGGTGGAGCTGAAATGTGGCAGGTACTCCTTTGGGGCGCAGGGTTACTTCTTCCTGGCTTCTTTTGTGGAATTATCTTAGCCATCATTTTCTTCTGGGAAAACTAATCGACACTATTGGAAGTCAGGAGCGTGTACAACCTTAGAAGGAACAGGTAGTGATTGGAAAGGGACTCGTGGGCTTTCTGGCCCAGTGGTAACATTCTCCTGCTTCATCTGTGTGTTGATTGTCCAAGAGATTTGCACTGTCCTTCAGAAGGAGTAAAAATTCATGCAGGTATGATCTTGTTTTTATTTAATGTATATGCATAAAATTTTACTTGTTTATTTTCAAGTATATTTAAAAATAATATATTTTTAAACTATTATATTATTTTAATTTTAAGTTTATTTATTTATTTGCCTAAAAGAACTGGAGTGGAGGCCAGAGGTACAGGGTGTGAGAGGACTCACCAGCCACAGAGTGGGGAGCAGAACAGGTGGATTGACTTATTAATATTCCCTCTTACTGTGACTCAGCACAGGGTCTTAGAAATAACAGATGAGTGTGATATAGCTACTTATATTTCTATCATATATACAAAACTGCTCTGTGACATAGACAGAAGTCTGATATTTGACCTTGTTTCTAAGTAAGAAACTGGCCATACCCTACAGTGTTTCCCATGACTCAAAAAAGTTGGGATGGGGCCCAATCTGAGAGGTTAAGTCTCAGCACTGTTACCATCCAGCCTGAGTTCAATCCCTTACCAGGGAACTGACCCACCTGACACAGCAGACTTCTCCTGTTTCACCAACTGCTCCCCCTAGCAGTGGATTTCAGTCACTCCCCCTGTTCGGCTCCCTCCTCTGTCTCTGATGAATCCTCTCACCCCCTGCACCTCTGGCCTACCCTGCCCACCATTCTTCTAGATAAAAATAAAATTTAAAAAAAATGGGAGTGGTAAGGACATATCCTTAATGAAAGTGAAGCAAGAGTAGGAGAATTTCATCCAATAATAAATTGATTTCCTAAAATTCAAAGGCAGAAACCAGATCATTTTTATTGAGGGAAGAACAGAAGAAAATGATGGCTAAGACAATTCCTCAAAAGAAGCCAGACAGATGTAACCCTGCACCCCAAAGGAGTACCTGCCGCATTTCAGCTCCACCCCCCCCCCCTTAGTTGAGTGCCCTTGTACTTTGAATATGTGGACAGCAGTGAGCATCAGCTCCTGGTTCAAGATGACTGGGAGGGAGGCCATCTCCAAGCAGCTTTGGCAGATGACAGTAGACCTTGGATTACTTTTTTCCTGAATTTTCCTAATTATTAGCACTCAGTATCTTTTAATTGCTTTGCTGACAATTTTAAATCTGTGAGTGGGTCTTTTCATGGTTGCACCTCATGTCTTTTTAGCGATGTGTAGCAATTATCTCGATTGTTTACCGCAATATTTGGAATATGATGTTTTGTAACATTTTCCTGTTACAACTATTGAAGTATTTTTTAACTCAACTTTTAATTGAGTTAATATTGGTTTGCCTCATTATTTGTATGTTTAGGAGTACAGGGTCTCCCTTTTCAAGTGTTATTACTACACTATACCTACCACCAATGTATCCATAGTCACCCCCATAGTTCTTGAGTTCCTCGCCTCTTAGTTCTCACCCCTTCTCTCCTTCTTCTGCTAGTCACAGGTGTATACTGAGTTTTTGAGGGTTTGTTAGTCTTTTTTTTTTAAGCTGTGATAAAATGTACATATCACAAAATTTACTGTTTTTGCCTCTTTGAAGTGTATAATTTAGTTGCATTAAATGACCAAATTCAGTTTTGCAGCCATCACCATCCTCTGTCTCCAAATTTTTTTTTCATCTTGCAGTACTGAAACAGTACTTCCTCTTGTTTCCCCCATTTTGCATTCTGTCTCTGAATTGCCTGCTGGTTAGTATCTCATGCGTGTATTGGCCACTTTGTGCTTGGCTTATTTCGCTTAGCATAATGTCTTCAATCTCATCCATGTTGCACCAAGTATCAAAAACCCTCTCCTTTTTAAGGGTAGGGAAATATTCCATTGCATGTATAGGCCACATTTTGTTTTCCATACAGCCATTAGTGACACTGGGTTTTTGTATCCTGTGGCTCTTGTGAACTAATGCTACTATAAACATGGTGTGCAAGTACCTCTCATGTCCATACTTTTAATTCTTTTGGAGAGTTTGTGAATTTTCCCTATGTTTATGGTATTTTTATTTGCACAGAAATTTCTCATTTTTATGTGACCAGCTCTGTTCATCTTTTGCTTTATCACCCAGTGTGTTATGTCTTGTTTAAGAATACTCTCATCTCACTGAGACTATAATGATAATAACATATTTTGTTCTCAAGCTGTTATAGTTTTGTTTCTCTATTTAGATGCTTAATCCATCAATCATTCCTATTTGTTGAGAGCTTGAATGTCTTATGTTTTTCCCCAAATAATGTACATTTGTACCAACACCATTGATAGTGAACAAAGGCCTTTTGTGATTGTTTTTTCATTGAGATACTATTTAACAACTATTTCCAGATATGCAGAAAAGCTGAGGGATAAAGAGAATAACAAATGTAATGAATCTCTAATGGGAACAAACGTTTGTCTTAGTGAAAACCCATTTAAATAGTTGGCAGGCTCACTTGGAGTAAATGCCCATTGCACATTAAAACTGGGTTCATGAATGAGATCAAATGCCCTGAGATGTACACATTGGTCCTGTTTTCTCCTGAAAAACCTTAATCAGAGGATTGTAACTTAGATGAAAGTCTTGGAATCAAGACTATCTGGCCAAGGTTTCCGTTTTAGCATTTTTGAACATTGCCAATCAAGTTGGCAAAAAAAAAAGTAAGAAAGAAAGAAAGAAAGAAAGAAATCATTTTTCTGCCCATCAGAAGAGACAATCTCAGGAGGAATTCTTTCCTTGTAGGAATATTTGGGTGATGCACTTTAACACTTATTTCTTTAGGTAAAAATTTTTTAGTTTTTGTCTTAAAAATCAAAATCAACCTAATTATTCATGAAAGGATGCAATGTAATGAACAGGAAACTAAAGTGATGGGCTTTAAGAGATTAAGAAATCAATTGGAAAGCTTTCTGCTTAGCACAAGTATATAAAGAAGGAGGCTGAAGGAGGAGATAAAGAGAGGCTCCAGTGAGATGAGGTAGGAGAAAATTTTGGCTCAAATTAGGAAAACACCATCATATGCACTTTAGGCATAATCATTATTATTATTATTTTTTTTGCAATTATTTACTGAGCCTCATTTTTCAATGTTAATACATTTGGCGAGTAATAAAAGCAGAAACTTATAAAACCTACAGTTCATCAAAATATAATACATAGGGGGCAGGGGAGATGCAAGAACAATATTAATTAGGGCCTTCCTGATGGCAGATGTAGGGGAGAGCTTACAAGTTATCACCAGTTCCATGAATTCAACCCCGGACCAGAAAGCTGACCCACATGGTATAACAGACCTCTCCTGTCTCACCCGCTGTTCCCCTCGCAGTGGGTTTCAGTAGATTCACCTGTTCTGCTTCCCACTCCGTCTCTGGGGAATCCTCTCATCCCCTTCACCTCTGGCCTCACCCCAGTTTTTGTGTGCATAAATACATTTTTAAAATTAAAAAAAAATTAATTAATTTTAAAATAAAATATATTATAATTTAGTATCAAAAAGCTCTTGATGAGACTTCATGTCCCTGACAACCTGGACTCAGAACTGGGACAGTGGTGGGTATGTCTAATACCACCTTGAACTGGTTTATCTCTCTGAACCTGTTTCCTTACTTGTGGAGTGAGAACTTCCTACAGTCATTGTGAAGATCAAATTAATAACCCAGGGAGATGTGTGACTGAACCCCTGCATGGGATGTAGCCATTTTACCAGTCGTGTGTGTGTGCTAAAGTAATTTCTTGGATATTTTTTGAAGAAACTTGTGCAAACGAGCCACAAGGACTTTGCCAATGGAATAAGTGATGATTTTGTCCACTCATTTTTTATTGATAGGTGAAAATTTGGTTTCAGAACAGAAGGATGAAATGGCGGAACTCCAAAGAAAAGGAAGTGCTTTCCAACAGGTGTATCCAAGAAGTAGGCCTTCAAGAGGACCCCCTTGTGCGACCTGCTTTGGGTTTCCCTTCTCCATGTCGTTCTCTCTGGGAAATCTCCCAACAGCAGTCAAGTCCAGGATGGAGAGAGAATTCACCAGAACCTTCAGAGAGACTAATCCAGGAGAGTTCAGAGGCAACACCTGCTGAAGCTGACTTACTACCAGGTGCCTTGTATTCGTGTCCTGAGGAAGAAGCAGGAGAAAAGGGTTTACTTACAGGGGCTGTTTGAATAGGATTCCTCTGCGATAATTAAAAAAAAAAAACAAAAAACAAAAAACAAAAAAAACCCTCTGAACTAATTTTTGGACTCTAAAGCCAGCTAGCTTGTGCTTCATCAGTGCCTAAAACCTAACACATTTGGGGGGATGCCTGAACTAATGCTTTAGGAAACCTCCAATGTTCTCTTATTTGGGCTCTAGACTCAGATATAATCTGTAAGTTGACTAGAATCTACCAGAGATTACAAGGAACTGAAAAGAATGAAAATGATAGTTGGTTCAGTCTATGCTCCAAGTATGGGTATGTGTGTATCTCTCTCTCTCTCTCTCTTTGTAATTATTCATCAAAATGCATTAGTGAAAATCAGTTTCTCTTTAAATATTACCTTAAATATTGTTTTGAGTGAGTTTTTCCTTTTATATAAAGAAAAATAAACCATTGACCAAATGTAGTAATTTTTGAAAATAATGTAAAATTTTTCCGAATTTTTGTACATTGTATTTCTTAAAATTCTATTTGCTTATTTCCTTCCGTACACAGCAAATGAATTTGAACAACTCAATTCAGCATTCTTAATGAAATGAGCTACTGTATGGCAATGCACTGAAAGTATATATTTAAAGTTAAATAAGCAAGTCAGAAGGAATACTGCAGTTGTCAGTATCCTAATTGTCATGTCTTCGGACTTGATTAGGCTGGAAGGAAGTTACCCATTTAATGATTTCTTCTCTGTAGGCATGGGCTTTAGTCAAGGTTTGAGAAATAAAATGCCTTCGAGGACCTGTTGGGTAAATAGGGGGCATGACCCACCTGAAGATATTTAATAATTTTTAAGATACTTCATTGGCCAAATAAAGTTTCTGTGCCAAGCAGTTTCTGAACTCTTGCCAAGATTAAAGAAGTATCACAGTTCTTAAAATGGTCCCAAATGGACTTCAAAACACAGTAATGATGGACTCTATAGCAATTTCTGCTTGTACTACTAGTAATATAGTCAATTTTCCACTTAGGTGGTATACCTTATATATATTAGGTTATTTTTATGTATTAACAAACACCACACAGATGTTTTCTGGTTTTTGACTACCCTGACACAATATTATCATAAAATTGCATTTCTGGTAACAATTTGCTGAGTTAATCTAGAAATTTTTATTCCTGGTCCAAGAAAAAATTATGTTTCACTTTGAAGGAAATGAAGCAGAAAAAGGAAATGATGTGGTTTTGAATTAGGTTATTATTAATCTATGGACAAGAAACATTAGAAGTTCATAAGGTGGAATTTTGTTTGAAAGCTATGTAAAGAAAGTGGCTTTTAATTTGCTTACATTCTTAGCTGTAGACTTTGAGGGTTTAGGGTTAGAAAAGGTGCTGTTCTCAGAAGGTAACATTTTTAGCCAGGAAATTATTTTGTATAAATGGAATTTGAATTGCTAGCTTGTGTCTTTATCATGAAATCTTAAAAATCATCTCAGAAATTTGTCAAAGTGCCTGCATTGTGGGGAATAGTGGCAGAGAGCTACTGATAATAATTCTAATTTTAAACCTGCCTGAAAAGGGTTAATAGTGGTACATGGTTTCTTTGTATAATGTTAATTTCACTTAAATTTATTGGGTTCTTCTAAGTGCTGGAGACAGTGATTGGATTATCTTATTTAATCTGCTTGTCAGTAACCCTTATGAGGTAGTAGCTACTACTCTCAGGATTTCTACAACCCACACAGCACTTGAGGCTGTTGTTAGGGTGATTGTCCAAAACCAGGACTTTAACAAGTAGACTCTGGATCCTGGCATTCAAATTTCAAATCTTGAAATTTCAACCCCCATTAGGGAGTGCATACCACCTTGAAATCTATTTGCCCTCTGAAGGGTTCACTGCCCAGAGATGTTTTAGAGATTGCATGAGATTTATTAAAGAAATTCAGAAGCACATTGTAGCTTACAATCTCTTACTTAGAGAGTGATTTTCTCTTTAATATTGTCTCTTTATATTTTAAAGTTTAGGTAAAGAATTGCAAAGTGTAGAGAGAATAGTTCAATAGAAGGATTTAATTGTGAGGTGGAAAAGTATTTTTTGATCACTCACTGTTAAAACTATAAAATGTTTATCAATGATCAATGTTTCTTGAGAATACCTTGAAAATCAAATGGTCTGTGTCATAGCTATTTGGTTACCCAGGTTGTGGAATAAAGCTAAACACTTGCTTGAATGTTCTTCCCTAAGAACATCTTTGCCTCTTTGACAGCAGCAGAGGCTTTCTCAACGTTTAGCCGGATGTGCTATCAATCTTTTAATTGTTTTCCACTCTGAGAAGTGGAAGAATACACTTTGGGTGAATATGTTAGTGGAACTCAGGAAACACACAGACACACATACTTTACACAGACATAGGCATCTTGTACTCTCATACACCTGGATTAGTAGAGAGAACTACTGTACTTATCCCAACTGATGAGGGTTTTTCTTCTTCAGTTTCTGCCCTGCTCTTCTCCAGCTACCATGTACACACAGGCCTATTCTTTGCTGTTACTTAGACGCAGACTCCTCTGTTCATGTGATCACATAGTATCTTGTCTGTTTTTGTAAGCATCAGAACCATAGAGGCCTAGGAGTATTTAACATTTAAAGAAAATTGTTCAGGGCCCTCTCTGGTGGCATAGTGGGTTAAAGCACAGCAGTAAGATGCTAAAGCCACTTCAGCATGAATTCAATCCCCGCTCCGGAGGTGACCCATATGGCGCGGCAGACCTCTCCTGATCTGCTGGCTGCTCCCCTCAGCAGTGTACTTCATCCATCTGTCTGTTCTGCTCTCCACTCTGTCTCTGGTGAATCCTCTCACTGCCCCTGCAC